GAGACTGGGGTTAAAAAAGAAAAAAAATAAATCATAAAGGTCCTATAATTTATCTGCAGCCTGAAACTAAAAGACATAATTGTTGTGTTCCTTTCAGCTCTGCTGACCTTTAGGCCAGCTGTGAGATTCTGCAGTGTCTAGAATTGGCTGCGCTGGGGGTTTCCAGATCTTGGAGTATTTGCAGTGCCCGATTTCTGCCCTCTTTTGGCACACGGGGAGAATTACTGCTCTGCAAAACCTCTAACAGGTAAGGCTGGGGGCACGGGAGTCAAACAGTGGGGCAGAAGAACGTGAGATTCACGTGGGTTCTCAAGGCAAGTTAAATTCTCACCCTGAAAGAAGCAGGTCTTTGCAAAGACCCCCAGCACCTTCCTTCGAGCATCACCACGCACCCTGCGGCGTACACTCAGAGCTCTGCCCCAGCCCACGGAGCGAGTCTCGCCGTCGTGTCTCTGGGTGGTTCACACAGCCTCCCTGCCAAAAGCTGTGACTCCCTGCAGACAATCCCATGGAGCAGAGGCTGGGCAGTAATGTAAGTGACATTTCAGAGGGAAACCAAACCAGACAGAGGCAAAAACCCCAAGTCCCTGACGTTACCAAGCTGAGCGTTTCCTTTCCAGCTCAGCACCTGGCATGGCACGTATCAGCGGATGTGACCTTTCTTGAGTCTCTTATGGCAAACCTGAGTCACTTCGGTGCACTTCTAAGTCACAGGAGAAGATGAAAAGGCAGGAGATAAAGGATCTGGCGTAGCCACAGTAACAGAAGCTCGTCATAGTTGTAGGGGGAAAATACAAAAAAAAAATACAATGGAGGAAGTGAACATAAAAAGCACAAACTTATGGACCAGTGGGTTGGGTTTTCTTTTTTATAACTACTGAAACATGAAATACATGTTAATTGCCAAATCTGCAGACTGAAAGGAGTGTTCAAGAACTGCAAAACCCAGCTCATTTATATCACTTTTTTTCCAAAAAAATGTGGCTCTCTAAAGCCATCTGTTCTTGCCCTAATGCTTCTCCAAAACTGCAGCAATGCAATGAGCAAAGCCAACCTCCATGTTAAACAAACAGCCCTGCTAAAACCCAAGGCAGCTGTATGTGACAGACTCACATCTAAAGAGAAAAAAATAGATTGTACGTAGAAAACCTGAAGACAAGAGGGGTTGGTTTTCTGTTTGGTTTTCCTCCTTTTTTTTTTCTTGTAGCAATCTGACCTAATATCTGTCTGTAGGTAATTGCTAACCATGTAAGGGTCTGGCCACGTGGCCTGTAACCCATGAAAACACATCATTATTCTCACCCAGAAATACAAAATTATAGGGATTACTTGTCAGTTTAATACACAGTTCTTAACACAACCAAGAGGCCAAATTTTAGTGATGACACATGCAGTTTTGCATGTGCTGAAGTGACTTCCTGCATCAGGGGTCTAGGGCAACCAAGATGCAATTAATTTACAAATCATAGAGGTTTACCAAGTACTCCAACTGCCTATACTGCTCACACTATAACTAGAGGTAGCATTGGTTTGCCAAATAAAAGAACTGACACCTCAGCTTGCTGCAATACACTGGAAAAAGTTTCCAGTACAGCCCTATCTTTATCAGCTTAGATGAAGCCGCACAACTTAAAGTGTCTCTCAAGTGCCCGAAAAAGGGGAAATCTGCACAGTTGAAAAACAGGAACTTACTTTGTGACACGGGCCCATACCTTTGAGAAGGGAAAGTTTCATTTCTGGCACGTAGGAAGACAAGCGTGGGCTGAAGGCAGCACCAATTTCAAGATTCACTGCCTATATTTTTAACTACTTTCTGCCATTTTAGGGAGGACTGGAACAAAAAAATCCAAGCAAGGTTTTCACAGAAGAGCGACAAGACTGAATGTGGCAATTACAAAAAAAAAAAAAATCTGTTATTCCTTTATTTAGAGTGAAATATCTACACAGGTTTATTTAAACTGGCAATCTGCCAACACCCAAATCCTCAAAAAATCAAATCATAATTCCCTCCAATCCTATCAAATGTTATTAGGGTTTAACTAATGGGATGGACTTCTGATGGGATTATGTGTCTTGGCAGTTGTGCAGCAGTACAGCCAGCAGAGACTGGCTCACAGGTACGCACACGTACAGCCTGGGACAGCTTGCTATTACGGGCCTTCAGCCACACACCGCGCCAAATTGGCCGTCTTCAGTTTTCCAAAGGGTGACGAACAAATGCAACTTCTCCTCGGCTGCCCTACTTCTGCTGTGCACTTCCAGGGCCAGTATCTGTTCCTTCTTCAGCCAGAGGGAACCCGTGCCCTAGCTTGCAGGAAATCTCTCCATCAGGCGGCTGTAGGAACGCACAAGAACATCTTCCTGTGCGGCTAAGCCAGAGGGCAGAAAACAAGTAAAATTCATGGAAACAGCCAACAAGCCCACGCCACAGGGGAGCTCTGCTGCCACTGCAGCACTTCTGTCAAGCCAACAGCTCATCTCTTCCTGCGGGCTGGGGTTTCATCACGCAACCCACAGCCTCAGACAGCTCATGAGTTATCTGCACGTTGCTCAGTTACGTGGAAACACAGTACTTGCTTTACTGCCTCCGAAGTGCAGCCTACGAACTCGATAAGCATCGGTTTTGAGAATTCATTGGGTGTTCCCTGGAATGCACTTCGCCATAAAATTCACTGTAAGACGACAGCATTTAGGCCACAGCACATTTTCAAAGCCCTCTCCATTCACAACAGGGGCTAAACCTTATCATCTTGAATGCCACAGCAAACTCAGGTCAGAACACCTGCCAGGCCAGATTTACAGAGAAAAACCACCACACACAGCCTTCTCAAGTCACACAGAGAGCCAGGGGCAAGGCAGCACATGAGCTCAAAACCGGCTAAGCCGCAGGACCGACCATTTGGTGATCCTGCTTTCCAAATTACACACACTGGAATAACTTTTTGCTCATTTGTACGCTCCAATCATCCACACGCATCTAGCTGCTACCACAATTTATTTCAAAAAGTCACTATCACACTTTGTATACAATACAAATACTTATATACATTGTATATGCACTTTGAAATAGGAAATCACTGCTAAGTACACCATATGTATAACATATAAGACAACATATGTTTAAAAACATGTTTCTAGACATCAGTTGCATTTTTTAATACATCTCCTGTTGCATATTTTGGCATATGCTTTGGTACTGTGTATATAAAATACCTCTCGTGTGTTACCTACTGAGGAGTTACAGTTGAAGTGAAAAACACTTCTGAATTATATAACTTTCAAGTTCACTTCTTCAACTTTTACACTGGAGGTAGTTAAATTACATCACAAGCTATTGACAATAACACTTCAGGTTTCTCTCAGATACTTCAGATTTTGAACTTGCTGTCTAAAATGTGAACGCTTTCCAAAACTACAGACTGATCAGCTTGTAGTAAAATGTTACAGATGTAAAATTCATTTCATACAGCATACAGGCAAACCAACCAGGTATTTCAGCTGCACAGAGACCGAATCAAGACCACGTCCTCAGTCCTGAATGCAGATTCCACTGACAGCATGCACAAGGTGATCATCTAGATGAATGGTCAGAGCATACTTTAAACATCTATCCACTGTTAGATGATCCTTGCACATCTTGGCTAAAGGGCAACCCTTGAAGGCCCAGATGGTCTGCACTGTGTTGAGAGTTCAGCTCTCGCTTCTTATCAACAGACAACTCTTTCAACCATCACAAAATGATCATTCATCAGCAGAAAAACTTTACAGGTCCATGTCCACGTTCCTAAATCTAGGGCATAAGCAGACTTGCCCCAAATCCAAATCCAGACTTACTTGTGGGTTTCTCCTTACATGCACAGCAGGGAATCAAGTCCCACAAACGTGGTTAAACAGTTTTACCATGGGGATGTACAAGCTTGACTGAAGCAGCCTTGCTGATAACAGACACACCCGGGCATTCAGCACATCAGGACGCCCGCCAAGAGGAAGCGCACAGAGCTTACAGATAAAACATTACACGTGGCAACTACTGAAGTTCACCGTGCAGCCAAGTGGTACTCTACCTTTCCCCCTGTTTTGAACAACAGCTTCCACTAATAACACACTAATCAGAAATTACCATTCCCTTTGCCTTCCGGAAATCCACGTATTCTACCTCCATGGAGATTTCCAAACGCTTAGACCTACCTGGTTGATTGTGAGTAATTCCATTTGCTGGCCTGACAATGGGGTACTGCACAGTATGTTAACATGACACCTTCTCAATGGGTATGTCTGATGAAATGCAGGAAAGTGGCAATGAACAGCCATCCTCAACAGCCACTTAACAGCTATCACCAGAACTCTGGGGCTATGCTGGTGCACGGCCAGCACGAGTTACGAGCAGTGACAACAGTCTCTGGAGGGACAGCTGACATGTGCCACTCAACATGGTCAAGAAGAAAAAACTTGAAAAAAAATGGAAGCACAAAGGAAGGCTAGGTTCATCAGGGGAGATTTTCCATATAAAGTAAGGAGAGTTCATTTGGGAACTAGACTGAAACACTGGAGATAGTTCTGAGATGCTAAGCAGAGAACAACTCTCTTTTCTCAGAGCAGGTGAGACAAGATATAAACTCAGTCATAAAAAGCCTTTTGATGTCCTTGTTTTTCTGCCTGCTCAATGATCAGCTCTTAGAGCTTCTTAAAAACTTCCTTCAATCCAAGGACAATCGTCTACCACTACACACAGCATTGGCTAGAAACACAGAGGACTCAATCACCACAGTCCTGGCAACAGGGATGATGTGCACAGGATCTGCCTATGACAAAGCATCCACCAAGAACAGCTACTCCCATGGGTCCCAATGCCAAAGGGGCCACCTAACGAGACCCAAAGGAACTGAAGTGCAATTACAGAGTTACACACACCCACGCACACAGCCACAGAATGCTCTGTCACACAACTTGTTACAATCGATCGGCTCAGAAACACAGGAAACCGTAACGTTAACGTGGAGTTAGTTTTTGATGAGACTAGAATTGGAGTCAATTTGTTCTTCCTGGATAGGAATTCGAAAGCTCCTTTCTGTAAGACAGATAATAATAATAAAAAAAAAAAAATAAAGAAACTCCCAAACCATAACCGTAGAGTAGAAGGGACAGGACAAGGGAAACCAGGGTCTTTTCTAGTTTCATGGGTAACCAGGCCCCTATGAGTGACATTTGGGTCAGTGTTTGTCTTTCCAGCCGGTGCTAGGAAACAGTGAAGGCACACTTTACCCCTGCTCTACGAATGGAACACGAGGCAGCTGTTGCGCTGACTCAAGAGCCAGGCTGCCACTTAATTCTGAATATAGAATTCAGTTCTTCTCAAACCATTCCTGTGTTTGCAGGAAACGCTTCCCAAGACAGTTCACTTCTACATTGGCAAAAAAGTTCACAATATACCCTTTTAAAGACTGTTAATTGTGGATTCTCTCTGTACTGGATAGAATTTCCTGCACAAAATCATTACATTATTTTGGCAGGAACCGGGGGGGGGGGGGGGAGGAGTTAAAATATATGTATATATATGAAGGGGGTGGGGGTATGAATATCCTTCTGCATGACAACAAGAAGGGAGTCTATGCTTTATAAGAATGCCAACTTGAGACACTATGACTTCCTGTGCATCAGGACTAAATAGAGAACCAACCACTGGTATTAACTGCAGATGACACCAGACTAATTAGCCAGGTAGACTTCATCATGATGTAAAGTGGATGTGGATGCCCCATCCCTGGCCATCTTCAAGGCCAGGCTGGAATGAGGCTTGGAGCAACCTCGTCTAGTGGAAGGTGTCGCTGCCGATGGCAGGGGGGTTGGAACTAGATGATCTTTAAGGTCTCTTCCAACCCAAACCATTCTATTATTCTATGAATGAAACAACTGTCAAAGTTCAAAAGGGGACCCTAAACATATTCTCCATATGTTTTTTCCCCATGGAAAACAACTCACCCTGATGGTTGTTTTTACAAGGCCTCTTCTTGGTCTGTTTTTTGGCTGCTTGGATAATCAACAGGAGGATGGACATCCCACTCACCATGAGCAGTATCAGGCAAATAAGGATAAGAAATAAAGACCCTGGAAGAAAACCAGTAGAAGAATACACTAAAAAAGATTCATGGCTCTAGCTTCGGTTTTCCATGGTTTTCTGGCTTCAAAAGAAGGAACCTAGAACTTCAGAAATACTGAAGCCTAAAAGCCCCAGATGCAAAGCAGACTGGCAAGAAATCTGGAATCCTGGGCAAATCTCACTGAAAGGCTATGCAAAATACAGATATGGCTTCTGAGAGAGAGTGTGATTTCATTTCCAATGAATCTAAGTTTCAGGTGAAAATTCCTGACCAGCTCTAGTAAACAGAGACAAGACTTGGTCACTCCCTCTCCTTACCCCAGTTAGTCTCTGTGGGGCTGTTCATGTCCGAGCATATGAAAGGAATCACACTGGGTCTGGACGGCGAGAACACTGCAGTCGATACGTTATCCTTCTTGTCGCTGGTGGAAAGATTCAAAGCAGGTGTTGCACTCTCAGGTGTAGCTGGCTCTGTGACATGGTTGCTGCAAACAGCATCATCTGTTTTTGTTCCTGGTCGAAGAGTATTTTTCCCAAGAATGCTGCAGCTGGAGAGAAAATAAATTAGTGTACTTTTTCAAGCAGTTGTAATAATTGCTTTAAGTGAACTCCATGGAACAAGTGAGTGAACATTACGAACTGTGTTTTATCAATACCAACTCAGGCTTCACCTTTACTGGATTCTACACAGATATGTGAAAACAACTAAGCTAATCAAAGCTATTACCAGAAAAAACATTAACATTGTTTATCTTTACATCTGTAAACGTAGAGCCTTGAAACAAAGTTGAATTTGGCCAGGGAACCTTTCACTACAGAAACAAAACATCCAGAGGTTAAAAAAGGCTGAGAACACTGTTGTTGCCATAGATGAACAGAGAAAAGGGCAGAAGGCAGGCAGATGCTTCAAATCAGTACACAGACTGCTCAAGGCTCCTGAGAGTCACAAGGAACACTGTTTCATCTCACCTACTGCGGGTGTACTCTACACACCATGATTTGGGCAACTCCTACAAAAGTAAACCCAAACTGTTGCTCTGAACGGGTTCAGGTGAGTGATACATACTTGGTCCAAGGTTGACAGTTCTCATTTCCTCCTGTGGAGTAAGTCCCTTCAGGACACAGTGAGCATACTGGGAAAAAAGAAAGAGGCAGAATTTGAGTTCAGTTACCAACATAACTGTATGACAGCTTATAGAAGAGACCCAACAAAACCCACGCAGCCTTTAAAAGCACAGTAACTGGGTCAGAAGTAACACTGCATGCTCCGCGGCTCATTTCAGTCTGCAACCGGCAAGGTTTCCTGTTTGCCTGCTAATTATGGATATGAACAAGGAGAGCATTAAGATTTCTGACAGCTCAGAAATCACAGAGCAACAGTTTGCACGACCACCTTGCTAGAACACTTCCGTGGAGATAGTAATGGGACGAATGACAACAGCTTTTACACTAGAAATAGCAACCACCACATCTGAAGTCGACATAAAGAGTTTGGCGAGTGACACATCACTAACTTACCACTTCCCAGTGTGTATCTGGCATCTGGCATGTAACCTGCCACACACATGCAAATTCTGTCAGAGGTCTTCTCACACTTCTTCACTTCCACACTTCCCTTCCCTAGCAACAACAGAATAAAGGGCAAGTGAGAGACAAGAAGATAAGAAACAAAAATAATTACTCAGGGCTTATCCATTGTGCATAGAAACAAGTGCAGAGAACAGGTTTTATTAAAATAACAATGCTGAAGACATCAGTTTTCAGGCAGTACAAGCCTGCTCCCCTTTGGAGGCTGTACCATCAGCACCAACCAGGAGGTATCAGCTGTTGAAATGATAACCCAGTCTTTATAGAGTTACAGAATGGTTTGAGTTGGAAGGGACCTTAAAGATCATCCAGTCCCACCCCCCTGCCATGGGCAGGGGCACCCTCCACTC